AGAAGCAGCAGGAGAAGGAACCAGAAACAGTGACAGGTACAGGGGCAGCGTGCATAGACAGAATTAGAGAATGGAATATTGTTGGTTATATTTATGTTCTTCTCATGCATATGGAGCTGTACAATCAGTATATTATGAGACTGCATAGTAGTTTTTAATTATATTCAACTTTTTTAGCACTCTGACTTGCCTGACCGGGTGTTGTTCAGTGCAGTGGTGCCTTGCTTATACAAAGTTAAGAGGGAGGTAAAGGTTTCTTGAAGGTCTGCATCATAATGAAATTGGCTGTATACAAGTACAACACTATTTATTAAAATAACCGCGTCGCTCAGTGAGACACAGTCTACCTCTAAGCCACAGCCACCCATCTTTCTCAACCTGAAACAGTAAAAGTGAGGGAAAGCCTCGATAGTTCGAGCCAAAAGACAATGAGCCTCACTGCTGCACTGGGTGACATGTTCCTTCATGACCATGAACACACACATTGTAGTTTTTTTGATTCAGTACACTGTCCTGCTGACCCAAATACTCACTAGAGCACCACCACAATCACCGGAGCATGGCTGAAAATAGTCCCCAACAAATGCCCTATTTCCTCCTGTTTGTTACACACATGCACGACATTGTGCACACGTATCTTGTGTAGCTAAAGATCATCCACTGCATAAACAGAGCCTTCTCAGCATTTTGTCTGTATTTTATGTCGGACTACTCCAAACTTTTACTGCAAACCTTTTGGGATGAACGCTCTTGGTGTGGCGTGGAGAGGACTGCAAACTGACTCATATTTTTCCAAACCTCACTCTGTCCCTGTTGACCTGTCATGCTGATGATTCAGTTTTTCTAAACTTCGGAGCAACCTGGACCTATTTCTTCAGCTGACGTAACCAAGACTCTCTTCTGAGTGAGAAAAAGTCCCATCCTCTGATTTGCTTTGAGGGGAAACCCCTGCACACATCACACTCAAACAGTTTTAAATACAAATAAAACCTGTTCAGTTCACTACAGGTGAAGAAAAGTAAAGCATCACAAATCTTGAAATGACTGATCTTTATTCTTTGAGGTAAAGATTAAACTTCCGACGCTGATTTCTGTTATCATGAGATCAAAGCTTTCTTATCTCAGCATCTTGTGGTAACAAATCAGTACCATTTCAAATATTTCAGAAAAGAAATCCCAGTCAAACAAAACAGCATCCCATTTAGTGTTTTGTTGATTTGTTTTCTGAAATGTTGTTTTCTGTTTAATCACATTATTTATTCTGATTTGTCAATTTGTTATATAAAACAGCATGTATCTTTATATTTGATGGTTTTTGAAGGGGCACTATTTAGCACTTCCAAAACATCAGAAGGCAGTTTAAAAAACAGGAGGTCAAAATCAAAGAAACGGAGTCTGAGACATCTTGACTTTTAGTATCAGGTATTGATCAGGTATCCTTCCCCACTGGTGATCAAACTCATGCTGTGCATCTGAGCTTTGTTTAAACATACAGTACTTTATTTTGAGTGCTAGTGGGGATCCTAAAGTTTACCAAATGTGTCAGGCTTAATTTGGTATAAATGTGTCTAAAACAAGGCAAAATATAACAAAAAGACTTCCTTTTGATGGAAAAGTCATAAAACACAGTGTAACATCACAAAGCCACAACTGTTACACAACATGCATTGATCCTGTCACACAGAGAGGAGTAAAATTAACCTTTAAGTCATAAAAGGGGAATTAAACGGAGGTTTAGAGCATTTAAATTGGTTATAAATACATATCAAAATGTACCAGTTTGGTAAGAAATAAGGAAAAACTGTGGTTAAATCATCAAAAGTTAAGATGTGGGCGACTTCTCTCCTCCCACAAAGAAGCATTTAATCTTTTAGTTTATCTGGAAACCAAAGATGTTAATTATAAAGACACATGAATGATAAAAATAAAAACAAATTAGCTTATGTGTAAACTAATTGCTCATCAATCAGAAGCTAATTCATTCACAAACGAACAAGCTGTTAACGAGCAGGTGGGCGTGGATGAGTAGGGGGCCGGGGTAATTGACTCAACCAGAGACGTAACCACTGATTCATCCTGCGAGTGTTTCCCTGCCCTGTCTAATTGCATCATGAGGTGAGGGGGAAATCCCACCACATGATTGGTGCAGGAGCCGGGGAACACGGTGATGTCAGAGTGATGTCACAGCAATTCCACAGAGAAACTCAGAAAGTCTTTCTTCCTGTATTTCTGTCTCGCTGTCTTTACTTTCTCTCTTCAAAATCGTACGTTATTCGTGTGTGTAATACACTGAAAATACTTTACATTTACTTTGGCACTTCTTTCCTTCTGCACAAAGCATGGCATATCTTTAAGACTTTTTAAAGCCTAAAAATATTCAAATGACTGAAACAGAAACCTTCCCACAGTTAATAGACATATAGAATTGTTAATGAGGGGTTGCAAGCAGTGATGGAAAGAACATTTATTCAATACTCTATTTTGATTGTATCTTATTCTTTCTTTTACCTTCCCATGTGCAGCTGTGCCACTTTGAAACTACTGTACAGGGGATCACTAATAAGTACTGCACTTAAATACAATTTTTGTATATTTGTACTCCATGTAATCCTACTTTCTACTATCTCAAAGGCAAATATTGTATGTTTTACTCTACTACATTTATTTGGTAACTTTGGTTACTTTGTAGTTTCTGATTGATGATTCAAAATATAATCAACTAATACATTTTGATGTATTATTATAGGTTACAATACTTTATTGACAAGCTACCCAGCAGAATATAAAATCATTAAAATAAGTGATGAACACATTAATGCATCAATGATTATAATCCAATGTACAATATACTTCCATCTATCCATTATCTTCCACTTATCTGGGATCGGGTCACAGTTTGCTCGTGGTACTTTTTCGTATATTTTTACTTCATAAACTTTACATCTGAATGCAGGACTTTTACTCGAATAGAGCATTTTTACACCACTGCTATTTCTACTTTTGTGTAAGTAGTTAGAGTCGTAGGAAAAAGAATGTGAACCATTTATTAATTACCTGGAGTTCTGCATTTGGTGTGTGACGTGATCTGTGTAAACATTCACAGAGCAGGGTCGAAAAAGTATTTGAACCCCTAGGCTAAGGACTTCTCCAAAAGCTAATGAGAGTCAGGAGTCAGTAAACCTGGAGTCCAATCAATGAGACGAGATTGGAGGTGTTGATTAGAGCTGCGCTATAAAAAACACACACCTGCCTGATGTGATGTGAACCATGCCTTCAATGAAAAAGCTCTCAGAAGACCTATGATTAAGAATTGTTTTCAATGCATTAAGCTGAAAAGGGTTACAAAAGTATCTCTAAAAGCCTTGATGTTCGTCAGTCCACCGTAAGACAAAGTGTCCATAAATAGAGAAAGTTCAGCACTGTTGCTCCTCTCCCTGGAAGTGACCGTTCTGCAAAGATGACTGCACGAGCACAGAGCAGAATGCTCAGTGAGGTTAAAAAGGATACTCGAGTGTCAGCTGACACTCTTCCAGAAGACTTTGGAACATGCTAACATCTCTGTTGATGACTCTACGATCCACCGCGCAGGAAGCCACTGCTACCCAAAACAAACATTACTGCACTTGTGAGGTTTACAAAAGAGCACCTGGATGTTCCACAGCACTACTGGCAAAATACTGTGTGGACATGAAACCAAAGTTGAGTTGTTTGGAAGGAACACACAACCCCATGTGTGGAGGAAAAAAGGCACAGCACACCAACATCAAAACCTCATCCCAACTGTGAAGTATGGTGGAGGGGGAATCATGGTTTGGGGCTGCTTCACTGCCTCAGGGCCTGGAAAGGTTGCTATCATCGACAGAAAAATTAATTCCAGTCAAAGTTCTGACCTCAACGCGATTGAGATGCTGTGGCATGACCTTGAGAGAGCGACCAGACATCCCAAGAACATTGCTGAACTGAAACAGTTTTGTAAGGAGGAATGGTCCAAAATTTCTCCTGATCGTTATTCAGGTCTGATCTGCAAATACAGGAAACATTTTGTTGAGGTTATTGCTGCCAAAGGAAGGTCAACCAGTAATTAAATTCAAGGATTCAAATACTTTTTCCACCTTGTACTGTGAATGTTTCCATGGTGTGTTCAATAAAAACAAACAATAGTTTGTGTGGTATTAGTTCAAGCAGACGGTGTTTGTCTATTGTTGTAACTTAGATGAAGATCAGATCACATTTTATTACCAGTTTATGCAGAAATCCAGGTAATTCAAAAGGGTTCACATACTTTACGGCTAGAAACCGGACTTTCACCCAGGAAACTGGCAGTGGTTTCCCGTGTGAAATAAAAATAGTTTTTATTAACATTACATAAGTTACGAAATGTAAATAATGTTATTTTAACCCAAACCATGATGTTTTCCTAAACCTAACCAAGTAGATTTGGTGCCTAACCAAATTACGACCTTTCACAGTGCAAACAACTAGTTTTATTTTGAAAGTGTAACCAGATGTAGCATATTTATTGTTGCTAACTTTAGCATGGAGCCCTAAATGTCAATAAAAGACACTAAAGGCGTACCCAGAGTATTAAAAAGTCATTCCAAAGGGGTCTTGACCAAGTGTCCATTTGAGACGAGTTGGAAGTGAGATGTGTTGTTTGGGCCATTATAGAAGCAAAACTTTCAACAATTAACTAAGGTAAATGAAATAAGTGTCCACATACATTTGGCCATATTGTGTGTAAGTTTGATTTAAACAATAGATGTACAGAGCCTCGTTCTCTCTCTAATGTCTCATTTCTTTTTGTCTGCGTTCACTAACATCATCATTTTCATATGTTACCATATTATAGTCGAAACCACTAAACATCAGCCTTCATGAAACCTTTTGACATTTGTTAAGAAGCTTTTAGAAAATCTTATTCACCACTAAAAAACTCCAGACTGGAGGTTCTTATTGTAATAGTAAGTATGTAAATAAGTATTTTAAAGGGCAAAACAATGGAAAATTAAGCTTTTATTTGGTGCTGATTTTTACTTTCATACAAACAAGCAATGACATCAATAAAAATAACTTATGTTAAATTAATCATAAATAAAATACATTAATTATGGCAAAAATACTTAAGTTAAGTGACTGAAAATGAGAAATGACTTAAATTAACAAAATAAATATGCTGAACTGTAAAAGTGTGATTGAACATGGAAGGTGTTGTTGTAGGAACCTCTAACAACTTAAGTTATAAATAAAAACACAAAATATGAAAAACAAAATCTACGGTTTTAAATCAAGATACAACATTATTAGATTATGCAAATGAGAGGAAGAGCAATTTCCAGCACCTCTTTCTTTTTTTTTCCTTTTTTTTTGCATAGCTATTGATAATCGCAATGTTTTGTCATCATTCAGCAGAAGAAGAGTGGGCGGGTTTACATCTGTGGGAGATCACAGCTGCTTCCTGGTAGATCTCTTTGTACTCAGCCAGAGCCTTTTTCTGAACCTCGGGATCGTCCACCTGCAGAGAGAGAGAGAAAGAAAAGAGTTAATTTCATGTAGAAAACTGAAGAACAGGTAAGAGCCAGGGCCACCACCTTGTATTCCATTTATTCAGTAAACTGTAAAATTATACTTTCTGCACATTGTATTTCCAAAGTTATAAAGTTTATATGATTAAAAGGCTTCGCCACGCTGCCAAGAATAAAGTGCTAGGGGAAGAAAAGCTGAAGCCTTTATTTAATTCATTATTTCAATAGACAAGAATAAGTCAAACTTAAACACATTGAGTCTAAAACCAGAGATGAAGGTTTGGTTTCAGAAGTGGGGAGTTAATATCTATCACTATAATGTCATTTCAATGGGAATTTGATGCATCGGGAAACAAATGTTAACATTGCCAAAGCAAATGTGAAATAAAAATATGTAAACAAACAGAAGAAGTGTGCTATTAAAAAAATAAATAAACAGATCTCTACCTCTCTCTATATATACATATACATATAAATGAAACAACACATATATTACTCAGTGTAGTTTATTCTGACTCAGTCCCACATACACTGTCCTGCTGCTCCAAATACTCTCTAGAGTACCACATGTGGATTCATCCGCAGCTGAAAATAGTCCCCAACAAACACACTATTTCCTCCTGTTACGGTGCGTTCCATTTACCTCGGAAGTTGGAGGTCGGAGCCGGGAATGACGTCACACCCGAGTTGACGGCGTTCCAGTTAACAAGTCGGGAAACCTCGCTCAGCCGGCCGTTGTATACAACTAGCCAGGTTAAAGTGCATTGTGCGGTATTTATGCAAACTAAACACTGTTGCAACACGTCCACCGACAGCATAGACAATTTCTATGAGACACAAGTACACAGTACAAGTGCTGATAAACAGTCTAAACTACAGTTTTCACTAACTGTTGATACTCGGTCTAGTGCGGTTCTCCCGACTTTCTAAGTAAGCGTTCCCTTTCAAATTTCCAACTTTGAACTCGGTAATTCTGACTTCCCATGTCAAATGGAACTCAACATTAGGGACCACCTGTTTAAATAAATTACTGGGCCTTTTTATACTGTATATATGAGAGGTGTTATTAAAAAGTGCATCTTGGGCTGAGAGTCACAGACAGGAGGAGTTGAGAGTATTTATAGATGGACTAACACAACTAATCGTTGTTGTTTTTTTTAAGAAAAGACAATATGTAGCTGTCAAACATGAAATTGTTGTATGGGAAACTTAAACTTCAAAACCACAGAGACACAATTACTAAACCCACTCAAAAGAACAAAAACGTCAATGGCAGCTTCAGATTCTTCAGAAAAAACAACAGAAACAAAACCTAAGTGCTCTTATCAGTCAAAAGATTACATTATGACTGAAAGTGGGTGGAGCCAACTCTCGCCTGACTTGTTTAGTTTCTTGTTTAGTTTTCTGAAATTCTTTTTCTTAGTTTTTTAAGAGTTGCCTGTTTTTACTAAGTATGTGTATGTAGTTAAAATAGGACACTGAGGAAAAGTTCTCAGTTTTGTTTGTTTATTTTTATTGAATTTGGGGTTTTAGAAAGAGAGAAGTTTCTGTCATCAGAATCTGGAAAGCCTTGGAAGCAGTGGTGTCAGATACAGCTGACTGACCCTGATGGCCCTGTGTTAATTCAGTGAGACAGACAGACAGGCAGACAGACAGACAGACAAGCAGGTGTCGCTCACATCTATTTTGTACAGCTCGCTCAGCACATCCTCTTTGTTTTGGTTCAGGTGGCCCAGTTCGCTCTTCAGCTGCTCCATGTTGTGCTTGAGCTTGTTCAGAGCCTTTTGCAGCTCCTGCTTTTCAGTAACAGGCACACTGGCCAGCAGAACCGGCTTCCCGTCGTGCTCATTGTGGCTGTGCTTCAGGATGCTGGAGAAGATGCGCGTGTAGATGTCCAGAGTGACATTCATCACCTGTATATCTACTTTTCTCTGTGGAGGAGAGGAAGAAATGTACCAGGGATTGAAGTATAATAATGATAAAAAAAAGTATTTTAATTTTAATATGTCAGACATTTAACAACTGCAACAACCTATCTTTGGCCTCGATACGAGCCAAATGTTATTTTATTTTGTCCACCATGACGATGTTTCTAAATCTTAGGAGATACCGTTCAACTTTTAGTAGATATTACTTTAATATCTCTGAGTCTACACTCCCATTGTAGGCAGTGTCTAATCATTTTTGTGTCTGGATTAGACACAAACGGACATTCCTGTCTGATTATTCACATAGAGTTTCTCAAAAGATTGTCCAGAAACAATTGTTCACTTTATTTAAAATTTGCTTGTACGTATCGTTGCTGTCCTGAAAACACAATGCGTCTGAAGATATTAATTTTGTGAGTGTGCAAGTTTTATGTACCTGGCAAGAGGTGTTGATGCTCCTGGTGACATGACTGAAGAGAGGAGCCCTGCCAATCTCCGGCTCCATCAACTTCTGAAACACACACGCAAAACAAACACATCTGAATACTTTTCTTTCTGTTGAAATGTCAACTAGTACAACATAAACACTCAGAGATACAAACTGTGTTGTCTCAGTGTCTGTCTGTAGTCTTGAGTATGGAAAACTTGGACAATTTGATTTAGCTTGATTTAGGCATTTAGCATGTTATATGTTATGTATCTACACTATGCAGCAACGTGAGGGTTTAAAAAGTATTCAAACCAATGTATTATAATGGCACCAGTATCCAAAGATTTGGACACCTAATGTGATTTAACATTTAGCACCCACCTCTGTGATAAGTTTAGTATTATTAGAATAAACAGTTTTTTAAAAGTTTTATAAAGAGTTTTAAAAAAGAGACTTTTTATTACAGATAACTCTAATTAGTGTAGTCAGTATCTTTAAACGAGACAAAACAAGGTAGATTGCTGCGCTATAATCAAGAAAATCTAAAAAGACGCTGCCACTCTGAAAAGCAAAATACCTTCTGGTGTCATTTAGTAACTTTTGTGTTTCTGTACAAAGGTGGTTCATCTGCATAAACTTCTGTAACGCGAGTTCAAAGTGCTGGAAAAAGGCGAAACGCAGACTAAACCACAGTAAGATTATTTCAGATTAGATTTAAACATAATGCGTTTGATAGTTTAATAGTTTCCACCAGGTCTCTGATGGCTGATATAAAGGTGGAAACGCTGGGATGTTTACATGATAAAATATGTTGTAATGAGCAGGGATAAATGTCCTTGCAGTAATGTTACAGTGACTCATGTATAATTTGGTCACTCTGTGCTGTGACACTGTCAGTTTCTATGTGAATAATATAGGAATATTACAGAAACTTTATATTCAGTTGCATCTCCAGAAGCTTAAAGTCATTAATTGTGTTGTGCCATCATTAAAAGCATAGATATGAAAGTAAACGCAAGTATTGCTGCAGAGGCTGATTTAAATCCAACTTGAATCTGTCATTTGCGGTAGATAATTTCAACATCGCTGTAAAACTTCTCTGTAATCCTAAAAGTCAGTTTCCTAAAATAAACCTTAACTTTAGCAGTTAAAACGTGGCGGCTGTGGCTCAGGAGGTAGAGCGGGTTGGCAGTTAATCGGAAGGTCGACGGTTCAATCCTGGCATGTCGAAGTGCCCTTGGGCAAGATACTGAACCCCCAAATTGCCCCTGACGGCTGTTCCGCCAGTGTAGGAATGTGTGTGAATGTTAGTTTCTGTTTGAGCACTTAGGCTCAGTGTATGAGTGTGTGTGTGAATGGTAGTGTAAAGCGCTTTGAGTGGTTAGAAAGACGCTATACAAGTACAGAGCATTTACATTTGAACACAGGCAGATGTTACGCTGTGTGAGAAACTACAGATGATCTAAAATTGAGCCCTGAGGGACCCCATAGGTAAACTCACCAGCACATTTGCGATTAACGTGTGGGGTTGTTTCAGCTCCTCAGGGACGTGATCGGCAGGTCTCCCAAACGCCAAAGCAACTCCCAGTAGAACCAGTAGACCGACTGAACCACAGCAAGAAGACATATTGAACAGCGAACTTTAATACGCACTCCTGTAGACAGTACTGTAATAAAAACGATCCTCAAAGAAAGGCTGAGTAATTTCAGAGTCTGATGAAGTGTTGTCTGATCTCTGATCTCTCTGTTGACCTGTGGGTCTATATATATAGCTGTCTGTGTACCTGTCACCCTCCATTGTGTGTCTGTGAGTGATGTGTGTGGTTGTGTATGTCTGTGGTCTGTGGGCTTTCAGAAGCAGCACCAGAAACGCAGAATTGACAACAGTTTTCCTCTAATACTCACTCTGCTGCTGCTAAACACACACAAACAGGAGACTCCCTGGTCAGGTTTCCATTCAATTCCATCCGCATATGCATGCACAGAGTAAGGGGACTCCCTGGTCTGAGTGGTTCAACTGGAGAAAGACCAGGTAATCACAAGGTAAAACTGCATGCATAGCAGTGAATATCATGACAATCTAAGGTTAACCAGTTGTGCCAGTAAAGTCACTGATGTGTGTGTGTGTGTGTGGTTCCAAGAGTGCTTAAAACCTCATGTAAGCTTTATGAAACTATACATGCCTATCTGCAATTCGTATGCACGCTTATGTGCATGTTCACTTGTTCAGGGTGTCTGCAAGTATGCCAAATAAATGTCTAACAGTTTTTCATTTAATTTATTTATTTGCCCAGGATCATAATCACAAAGACAAAATTACAGGATAATAACAAAAACATCAAATATTAGTTAAGCAAACGAAAAAACATTCTTCAAAAAGACACCCGGTTTGCCAATTACGTTTGGCTTATCTGATTGCAGCAACACAATAAACTTATGCTTATATAGTACTTTGGCAAATACCTTACAAGCAAGAATGAAATCATACATCTACATTAAGAAGCATATTTATGCCCCTCTCACTTCAACTTTAATGTTTTTATTACTTTTATTTTCTATTGTTCAAATGTGACTTAAACGATTAGTTGCTTGTCTGAAAAATAATCAGCAAATAATCTGATAATCAATTTATTGCATATGTAATATGTTTTTTAAGCAAAACTGCTTCTCCAATGTGAAGATTTGCTGCCTTTCTCTGTTTTTGTATTATAAACTGAATATTTTTTGGACTGTCGGTCAAACAAGACAAGAAAAACAAGAAATTTAAAATGTCTGGGAAATTGTGACATTTTATTCAACAAATCATTAACTGATTAAAAGAGCAAATAATTGGCAGATTACTCAGGATTAGCTCAAGCCTTCCAAGCCTTTCCTTACCAAGTGCAGTTCAAAGCATTGGATGCAGTGGTGTAAAGCACGCCGCCACTGGATGCTAAATATCTCTGTCTGACAATCTGCTGGACGAGTGTGGGTTTGGCGGTTGCCAAAGGAGAACAGTACTTGCCTAACTGCATTGTGCCAAGTATAAAGTTTGGTGGTGGTGGGCAGTTATGGATATTATATTGCATTTCTGTCAATAGATTCTCCTAAATATTACACACTGGACCTTTAAATAAAAGTAAAAATACCCCAAAATGAATATACTCCAATAGAAGTGAAAGTCCACATAACATACTAAAATTATCAAAAGTAAAAGTATTCATGGCTCCTGTATTATTACCATTTTTATCATGTATTATAAGGTTGTTATTACTACTGCATGCAATAGTGTATGCATCAATTAAATGTGAAGCTTATTTTCCACCAGCTGTTCTTTAAATGTCTTATCATTAGTTTTAGGTATACTAAGCTGCAGAGACCCCTCACAACGTCATGCTCCACCATTTTAAAAAAAGTGTATCACAACATCAAAAATTTTATTTTGCGTAGTTATTCAAACAGTCATCTCTATACCACAAATGGAGACGGAAGACGCAGCCCACCATGTGAATGTTGTAAAATGTCAACGAGGCCACAGTTAACTTTCACTCTGAAAGTGTGTGGACCCCCTAAGCTGTGGTTTTTACGTGTTAGTAGTAGAGCGTCACGAGAAAACCTGTACTTACAGTTCTGTTTCCACTCCTCTTAGATAAACATTTAATGTATGGTGTATATCACTTTCTTTTATGTGAAGATCTTACTTTCATCACCATACTATCATCACTCTCTTGTTGTCTCGCTGTTTTCCCAGAGGCAAATTCAAAACATGCACTGCAAAATTATTTCCGAGTAGCACCGACTTATTATTAATTCACAAGCATGGTTAAAGAGGGATGAAAAAAAGTGTTGATTTCCTACCTTTGAAGCAGCCAGTCTGCACATGTCTGCATATGTGTCCATTCAGTTATATTGATTATGCACATTACATTAGTCTGTAAGGGTCCACCAATCAAAAGAAGCTATATAGTTATAAAAGATGAAATAACTACGGAAATCTTCAGCTTTCATTGTTTTTAAGGTATGCTCTCTCTCTCTCTCTCTCTTGGCCTAGATGGGCTGTATTTTAGAGCTAGACCAAATGATTCATAATTGATTTGTTATCTGATTTGTTACCTCATTTTTATACACGTAATATTCACACTGGTAGAAATAAAAACTTTGATAGTAACCTATTTCCCATCTTTGGTGAGCAAGAGATCGGTGGGAAATAAATTAAACGCCTGTCCCATAGAGACGCTCGCCCCAAACATAGGCAGGGTGAGTTTAGTGAAGCAAATAAAAGGCCAGCTTTTAAAACTGGTTTTATGACATGGGGATTTGTGTCTTGTGTTCTGTAATTAGCATTGGTTGATTAGCATGGTGGAACTGCAATTTCCATGATTTTACTTATATATTGAACCTTGAAAAATGAAACTGAAAAATAAATATATCTGTTTGCATCCCGGTGGAATGTAGTTAAATACATGTAAAAGCAATTTCATGGTTTTGGTTTATGTTGAAAGAAGCCTTCCTTCTGTTGGATTGTCTGCCCTGCACTGATTAGATTCACCTGAGATTTCACGGACTTTTGCCTCCTCCCTTCTGGTTTTGACGTTTGACGCCAACACCATCCCATAAACCTGTGAACCTTTCTGATTTGATCGTTAGACACTGCTGCAGTGCACCTACCTGCTCTGCCTTTGAGTATCTGTTTGGGCCCTATCTCATGTGTTACCCTCCTTGAACTACTGTGACAAACAAGTCTTATCACTGCACCATCAATATGTGGCTAAAAGTGAGAAGACAACCACAACTATACAATGATGTTTTCAACATGATGACATCAGTGCGCCTTGCCACCATGAAGACATGGTTTTCACACTGTGTAGTGGAATCTTCATAGACATCTGTAGTGGAAGAACTTGACTAAGCTCCTTATTCCCTAGTCCAGTGAAGATAAATCTTAATGCTACAGCACATACAATTATATTTTAAACCAGGGGTCGCAACAAGGGTCAGAGAGAAAAAACAATCATTCTACATAATGTTGGCTTTTTTTTAGACTGTTGAGACTTTGAAAAAGTGGAAAGTTTCACCTCAAGCCTTTAAGATTCAAATGGCAAAGTAGTAAAATGTACTTTTTGGTTGAACTCCACAGTAAAAAGACAAATGCAGGCTGTACATTAGTCGTAATAAAGTCTCACAAGCCAGAAGGTTTAGCTGCTGCTGTTTGTGTGACAATGCCACTGTGCACGAAGCCAGCTACAAAACGGGAACCCTGAAACCAGAAGCGTTAGGGCAGCATGTAAATGCCCATCGTGTCAGAATATGTTCAACAGTAGGTGTAATGTCCACATAGTTTTGACCATTTAGCGTAGAAATGTAGCAGGTAGATTTATCGCTGCAGACAGAAGATGTGTGTTCATCATTGTGGGGTGAGATGCAACTACGCTGGGAAATCTGATTGAGGTAAAAGTGTTACTGCTGAAGTAACGTCATCGCAGCAGGAAGAAAAACCATCACTGCATCATCACGGCTTGTGGAAACGCCACCACACTCGTTACAATGAAACCTGATTCATCACTGCGGCTAGAAATGCCATTACTCTGAGTAGAAAAATCATTTCTACGGATTCCCTAATTTATTCTGGCCTTCGATCCGAATAATTTTTTTAAATATTTTGCTACATAACACAGCTGCACAATGCACAGTTCAAAAATACTTAAAAACTATTTTAAATTCAAATTTGCTTCTACCTCCTGGGTTGACAGTTCTTGAACTTTCGCAGCTCTCCACTGTTATTGAGTGACCTTGACAACGACAGGAACAATACCCAGAAAATAACGAAAGAGCTAATCTCTGTTTTGGTTTCATAGTCCTCCGAATTAAATGACACATCTTCACCAGCGTACCAAGAAACCACTTTAAAAGATCAGGCCTAAACTGTAGTTTCAGTGTTAGATTATACAGGAGGTGCCGTTACAGTAAATACTACTGTTTATGATAATAATTAGCTAAACCTAATTTTAATACTGAGTGCAGCGTCTGACTTGATTGATTTGGTTTGCAAACCATTTTATTTATCCAAATATTGATGTCTTATAAGTACGGTGGCCCTGAAGCTCAATTCACTGCAACTTAAGAGAGCATGTGCAAATAGACAAATGCAAGCCCCTTGAGGTAGATGTGTGAAGTGACGTGTGTAAAATTGAGATATATAAATAAAAACTGACTTGTCTTTACAAGCAAATTAAGAAACATTTCACCATTTTACACAAATAGATAAAACAGAATACAGAAACGCACCAAGTAGCAGAAAGTGTTTCCAGGGAACACTAAAAAGTGATGCACCTGGCTGGGACAAGCTTGTTGCCACGGTTTGTGATACATTGAAGTAGGCTATCTGTAAGTGGTGTTGGAAAATGAGCTGAAATGTGAGAGTCCCGGTGAGACGATGAAGACGATGTTTGAGTAACAGATTTGTGAATTTGAAGTCTCATCAGATGCCAAACCAGTGCACAGTGACTAATAACACTCTGACACTGCATTTTACAACTCTTACAAGTTATCACAACTGTTGGCAGATACCCTTTGGGATTGCCTGGATTTCTGCATAAATTGGGCCTAAAATGTGATCTGACCTCTGAGTCACAACCACAGCAAACAGAGTCTGCTTAAACTAATACCACACAAACTACTAAACACTAATGATGTGTTTTATTTTTTTATTGAACACACTATGTAAACATTCCCATTGCAGGGAGG